TATGGACGAGGGGAAGTGGAGTCTTGGTGCACAGTGGTGTTGACTATCCATCCCCCCGAGTGAGGACTTCTGGCCTTGCCCGTGATGGAGCACAGAAACCCTTGTGTTCCTAGGAGGGGCAGGCACTGTCTGTGCCCCCAGACAGCAGAGCAGTTGCTCTGGGCAGGGCCCGAATTGCATGTTTTTTGTTCAGTGCTAGAGTGTGCAGGTCAGCTCCTCCCTGCTGCCCCCATCGCCCAGGGTGGGAGTGAGGGCCATGGAGATGCATCTGGAAGAATGGCTGGAGCAAGAAGGGGCTGCCCAGGAGCAGACAAGCAGAGGCAGACGGGGAGCAACCATGACCTTGTGCAGACCAGGGGGTCCGGCCTGCAGAGCTGAAGGGCTGTAGAGCAGAGCGGAAGTGACAAGTAACAGGGCCCGGAGCCCAGGGCGGGTGACCCCTCCACGCCTGGAGGGGCTTGTCCCGAGGGGCCCACTCTCACCCTGTGCTCTGCCCCACCTCCTCCTCCCTCCTGAGAGTGAATAACTTGGACAGACCCAGGCTATGGAGCTTCTTTGTTTTAAACGAATATATATTTGTTCTGAGAATAATAAAGCTTATAGAAAAATCTAAAAACTGGGACACCTGGGTGGCTCACCCGGTGAAGCGTCTGCCTTCGGCTCAGGTCATGGTCCCAGGGTCCTGGGATCGAGCCCCGCATCGGGCTCCCTGCTCCGCGGGAAGCCTGCTTCTCCCTCTCCCTCTCCCCCTGCTTGTGTTCCCTCTCTCGCTGTGTCTCTCTCTGTCAAATAAATAAATAAAATCTTAAAAAAAAGAACATCTAAAAACTGTGGGAAGATGGAAGAGAAAGAAATCACTTCCAGTCCCACCCTCTGGAGAGGTGGGCAGAGGTGCCAGGAGGGCACTGGGGACATCATTTCCTCCCTTCAAGGAGACGCTTGGAGGCTCCCGCCCAGCCACGCGGGTGTCGTGGGCACTGGCTTGGAGAACGGTTGGGAGCAGCGGTGAGTGGGTGGCCGGGGGGGAGGGACAGCCTTGCCCACTCTGGCATCAGCACGATTATTTTCTTGTGGTCTTTCCTCTCTGAGTATTTGACCAGCCTTCATGGAGTGCTTTTAGAAGCGTAGTTAACACAGTGTTCTTCACAGGTTCTCGAAAAGACATAGTTTGCATGCTTTTTTTTTGAGTAACCCTCTGTGCTCATCGTGGGGCTTGAACCCATGACCCTGAAATCAAGAGTCGCATGCTCTACCGACTGAGCCAGCCGGGTGTCCCTGGAAGAAACACATTTTGAAGAAGGGCTGGGACAAGCACTAGTTGCCAATGGTGGTTTATAATTAATCATTCCCCATTAAAAAAAAAATAGTGACTCAGTTTTAAAGAATCAGAAAACCATTACTTAAGCTACTTGGCAGAGGGAGTGGCCATCACGTTGCTCCCCCAGCTTTGCTTTTGTGGACGAGGAAAAAAGCCTTTTGATTTGCAATTTCTCTGAGCTGCCCCAGTGCTTTGGGCATTGTTAGAGCGAGTGGGGAAGGAACAGCCCTGCCGTTGATCAGGCCGGTCACTGCACATGGCAGGAGCTTCCGTCTGAACTGGGGGAGGGAAGTGGGCAGAGAAGCGAATTTCCTGGAACGGGCAAGTGCAGAAGCAGGAGAGAGCTCCCTCCAGCTCCAGGCTCCCGTTTTCTTTCCGTGGCATCTCCACAGACTCCTCCAGACTCCCCTGCTCCTCCCGTCTGTGGCGGCCGGCTGTGCAGCGTGGGGGCGGGTTGGGGGGCAGCGGCGCCCCTGAGACCCCTGTGTCATCTGTGGCTAGCACTCTTGGCCATCTCCGGTGGGGAGGCCCTGCCCTGGGGTCCCTCTTGGGCACCCTACATTAAACCTGTATTAAGCACCCCCTGAGTTCTTTGATGAGTATTAGTGGGAGCCCCTGTCTCACAGTCACGGCTGGGGAAAGTGTCAGTGAGAGGATGAGCCACGTGTGGACCTTCGTGCAAGCTGCCCGTGCCTGTTGGGTATTGGTGCCCGGTGAATTACGATTTCCGCTTATCGGCTGATGGGGGATCGTGAGGCTCCGCACCGACCAGCGCAGTGTCTCGGTCCTAGTTCCTACAGTGGTGGTAGTTTGTGCATGAGCTTGACATCTGTGTTAACTTTTATCCTTAGAGCTGCTTTAGCAAGTGGAAAATGGAGAAGTAAAAATATGGATATGGTGATCAGAAGTGTTGGGTGGTAAAAATAAAATCTTAAAAAAAACGAACAAAAGATAGGGGTGCCTGGTGGCTCCGTCCATAGAGCATGTGACTTGATCTCAGGTGTAGAGCGTTAGGCGGGTCTTTTAAGACAGAGCCTCACCGGGCACAGATGGAAATCATTCTGTGGGCCAGACGCACCCATCAGGCGCCCATGGGCGTACATACACTTGACTGCGTGTTCAGTCATGAAGGAACAGGGCGCATGTGACACACGCACTGGGACGGGCAGTCCTGCTCTGGGAGAGTCCTGGGCAAATGACCAGGAGCACACGTGAGAAAGTTGGTAGCCACACCCTGATGCAGCAGGACGCTGGAAGCCACCCAGCCCTCCCTGAGCAGGAGAACCACTTGAGTGTGCAGTGGAGTATCACAGGCATGAAGGTGGGTGAGTCCCAGAGCCATAATGGATGGCGAAAGCACGTTCCAGCAGACTACATACAGACCTTTTATATAAAGCCTCCAAATCAATTGAGGCCAAGAAAAAATTAGGGGTCTGTGTGCAGTGAACCTATTATCAAAGGTAAAGGATGGTTGCACCCAAACTGTAACACTGCCAAGGCAGGGGGCTTCCAGGACAGTGGCTATGCAAGGGCTGGGGGTGTCTCATGCTTCCTAACTTGTGTGTGTATTACATGTGTTACTGTGCGTGTGTTCAATATTTGGGAGTACCTTTAAAAACAATATCTGAAATGCTGTAAATATATTATTGAGGATTCTATATGAAAGTTGTGCTGTAATTCGGGCTTTTCCGAACCCTTTCAAGCCATCTGGGCAGGGAAGCACCCTCAGGGGACCTGGGCTTCGGGGGGTGGGATTTTGCTGCTGTTGGGGAAGTGTGGTTCCCGTGTCCCCGTCCTGCTGTGGGGAATGTGTCTTCTGTCCTTGAGGGCAGGGTCTCTCTGCTGCTGGTGTCCTCCTCACTGGCACCTGGCGCTGGGCGCCTTCTCGAATATTTGTGGAACGTAGGACAGAGGGAGGGTATATCAAGGCCAAGGGATCTAAGGAACCTGCCCAAATTGACCCCCTGCACGGTGAGATTCAACTACCTTTCTCATCCAGAGAGTGCTGGGGGCGGGCGGGGTGGGGTGCGTCCAGCTCCACGTGGTGAAGTGAGGAGGACACTTGAAGGCCGTGCGCCGTGTCCAGCGGGCGCTCTGGGGGTGCTCTCCTCCTGGGGGCCTCACTGGCCCTTAGTGCCTCTGACTGCCGCCTTGGATGGGCAGGAGGAAGGACAGCCTGCCAAGGTGACATAAGCTCCTCCTCCCGAGCAAGAAGGCTTAGCAGGTCAGACACACTGATGCCGGCCCTCCAGGCTCGGGGGGGCCTCGGGAGAAGGTGAGGGCGGTTCCTGCTGGGCTTTTCCGAAATCTTTGGCCAGATTTATTGCTGCTCCTCGCTAATAAATCGTTTGAAGGGCCAAGTGTGCTTAATATGAAAACTGGCCTCGATTCCCTTAGCTGGGTGGACTCATTTAATTAATTGGTTAGACTAATTTTATCTCAAATTCTCTGACTCTGTTTAACCTATACTAAAAAAAGTTTACCTGTTCCTTTAATTTTCAATATTCTTTTCTTTGAGTAGCACATACATGATATTTTTCAGGGGTAGGGAGCGCATTTATTCTTTTTTACCTTCTAATTTGCTCCCTAGAATAAAAATAGCATGGTCCTACAGGTTTCACAGACAGGAGTGGGTCCCCGGACAGAGGTGGCCACACCCCAGCTGTGCAGCAAGCTTACTGGTGACCTTGGGCAGATCTCCTGATGCCTCTATGTCTTACTGTCTGTAAAATGGGCCACCTACCATGAAGCTCCAGGGATCCCGAGACTTCTCCTGTAGTCCTGCATCTTGTGAGCCCCAGCTGGGTATCTGTGCCTTCATTCAGTCACTAACCCATCGTGCGTCCAGTGGGCCCCTGTCATGTGCCAGGCAGCGGGCCAGGCACTGAAATATAACAAGAAGACAGGGTGTCGATTCTCGCGGCATTAGTGTTGGAGAGAAGGCAGATACAGACTTGGTGACCCTATGGCAGCGTGTGATGGCTGACGGGCTGAGGAAGACCGTGCCTGGTGGGGGCCTGATCCAGCTGGGGGTGAGGGAAGGCCTCAGGGAGGGGGTATCGAGGCTGAGACCTGACATAGGAGGTCGTGTGGGGCGGGGGAGGGGCTCTGTACCTTCTGAGGGGCGTGCGGAGAGGTGAGGCCTGCAAGCGCTGGGGAGGCGGGTGGTGGAAGGCCCTGTGCGCCGGGCCTCACGCTCGGAATTCATGCTGTGGACAGTGGCAGGCCCCTCAGGGGTTTCTTTTTTCTTTTTCTTTAAAAATTAATTTTTATTTATGTATACATTTTTAAAAGATTCTATTTATTTATGTGAAAGAGAGAGTGTGTGAGCATGGGGTGGGGGAGAGGCAGAGGGAGAAGCAGACTCCCCGCGGAGCAGGGAGCTCGATGTGGGGCTCCATCTTAGGACCCAGAGATGTGGGGCTCGATTCCAGGACCCTGAGACCATGACCTGAGCTGAAGGCAGATGCTTAGCCGAATGAGCCACACAGGCGCCCCAAGGGTTTTCTGACCAAAGGAGTCGGGTGGCCAGGGGCCGCTTCTGGAGGCCCCCCGGGGGCTGTGGCCTGGGCCAGTGGATGGGCTTGAGGGATGTGTGGTTCTGAAGCCCCTGGCTTCCCAGATCAGAAGCAAAGTCCTTCCCGGCTGCTATAGGCTTACCAAGTGTCTTCTCCCTCTGCAGAGGTGGTGAGCGATATGGTGACCAGCCTGCCCGGGGCCAGTGTGACCCTGACCTGCCCGGGCAGGGAGCCGGGGGACAAGGCCACCGTTCACTGGCTGCTGGAGAACTATGTGGCAGGCTCACACCGGAGCAGCTGGGCTGCCATGGGAAGGACGCTGCTTCTGAGGTCGGTGCAGCTCAGTGACTCCGGAAACTATTCATGTTACCAGGACGGCCGCCTGGCCGGAACCGTGCGTTTGCTGGTGGACGGTGAGTTGCGAGCTCAGAGTGCTAGGAGACGGGTCCCAGCTGTCCCTTTAAATTCCTGTTATTTCCTTGGCCCAACAAATTCGGGGAAAGATCCACTGACGTCTGCCAGCAGTGATATGGAGGAGCCTCCTCTTGGGTGGGGGCATCTGCCTGACGGGGACCCCACCCTCCCCCTGGCCTGAGTGCTTAGGGCAGAGGCCCCGGGGAACAGCCTGCAGCCTGGGTTTGGGTGCTCCTCCTCCTTCCCAGCTTCACCCCTGTGCCCAGTGTCCCTGGTGGTCAATATGGTTAATTTTATTACCTTACCGTTGTTGGGAAGATCGTGCGAGTGTGTGTGTGTGTGGCGGGGGGGCTGCTGTTTGGCATTGGGGCTGGCTGGCTGCAGGGCCGCGCGCCCTCCTCACACTGGCTGTGCTCTCCCTTCAGTGCCCCCTGAGGAGCCCCAGCTCGCCTGCTTCCGGAAGAGTCCGCTCAGCAAGGTAGCTTGTGAGTGGGGTCCTCGTCGCCCACCCTCCCCGACGACCAGGGCCACGTTACTGGTGAGGAAGTTGTGAGTATCCAGGCCGGGCTGTGTGTCCACGTCTTCTCCATCCTTACTGAGGCCCCTCGAGGGCTGACGGCTCTCACTACAGCAAGTGGGCTGCTCGCCAGTGGTTCCCAGACTTCATCACTGGGAAGTCATCACTTTGGGATGGGGAGGAGGGAGTGGGAGGCCTACCGAGAACTTGCCGGCCGGGCGGTGCTGCATTCATGACCACACAGGCTTGGGGGAGGAGGGGGTGTCGCTTTCCTTGTTTAACAGGTGGCGAGGCTGAGCTCGAGCCATCCATGAACTTGATTTAAGGTGCTTGTAAGGGGCTCTGCTAGGAGTCAGATCCTAGTCTGTCTGAGTTTATCCAAAATGTCAGGTTTGGGGTGTGCTGTGAAGAAGATGCAGAGGTGCCCCTGTGAGGGCAAGAGCTCCTCAGTAGTCTTGACGGTGGGAGCCCTTTGTCAGGCTCTTTCCCCTAAACAGGCCTTGAGAGCAGTGGGCTGGGGCGGGGAGAGGGTGGGTGTGGGACCCGAAGCTGGGCCTGGGAGGAGCCCAGGGTGGCTGTGAGGAGCGGGGAGCTGCTGAAAACACACGAGCCCCCAGCCCCAGCGCAGGGCCCCTCCGTCCAGGTGTCTGTAATGGAGTTTGAGCTGTGGGTCGTCAGTGTCAAAAATCTGAGCAGTGACTTAAGCAGCAGTTGGTTTCCATGGTGTCTGTCTGCAGAGTTGTCAGGCCTGGTCTCTGTGCAGAACTGTGCACATTGTTCATCTGCAAAGGGCACTGCTGCCCATAGGGAGAACTGGAACCCACCAGAACCCAAAGCTGGGTTGTGGGTGTAATTGTCTGGGACCTGGAGGGTGCTTGTCCCCAGACAGGGTGTGCTGCACCGTGGCTGGCGGCCACCCAGACCAGCCACAGAAAGCCGGTTCGGGTGGCACACTTGGCGGGTGCACGCGTCCCCATGGCACCTCCCCTGTCCTGGACTGAGGAAGCGGGAGTGGAGCTGCACCTGGGGACCCTGTGCCTGGGCGGGGGGAGGTTCATAGTCCTCAGGGAAGAGGTGTGTGCGCGCACGTTACAGTCGCGCCCCGCCAGGCTGCCTCACCCATTCTTCCCCAGCACCTGCCCTGGGCTCGGTACTTACTGGGACTGCTGGAGAGATGCCCATCCTCAAGCCCTCCCTGGCAACCCACCTCCTCAGCGTTAGGTGGGATGGAGGCGCTAACTCCCCCTGGGAACGGAGGAGCAGGCTGCCCAGAGGGAAAGAGTTTGTTCTGGGCCCGGGGTCTACACCTGAGTCAGCAGTGATCTGTGGCCCCAGAGGCAGGGCGAGTGGCTGCGGCACCTCCCGCGCCCACACATGTTGTAAGTGGGCCAGGTGGGGCCGTGTCTGACTCACCTTGAATATCTGTGGCCACCCAGAAGTCTTTCCCGGGCCCATCGGCTGGAAACGCTCCCACCTCCTCGGGGAGCCTGTGAGCCCTGTGCTTGGCTGTTCCACTGGCTGCCCTCGTCCCCCGAGGGCAAGGCATTTCCTTAGAGGCTCGAGGCCAGGGATGAGGCCTCTCCAGACCCCTTGCGGCACCTGCATTGGGACGAGGCTGGGAGGCTCCCCTATCCAATGCCTCAGGGGCCGAGTGTGCTTTTTAGCTCAGCATTTTGACTGCCGGGCCAGGCACTAGCCTTGATGTCTCACTCCGTTGTCAGTGAATCCTAACAAACCCCTGTGACGTGGGTATTACTAATATTCCCATTTTCAAATGAGAAAACAGAGGCTTGGTGATGTTTGATAATTGACTGAAATCACAAGACCTACTAAGTGCTGCTGAGTGTGGAGCGTTTTGGCTCTGTTGCCCTCCCCCACCCCGAATAAGGGCAGACGCTGGTGGCGAGCCTGTCCCGTCGTCCCGTGTCCACAGCCGGAGCAGCCCGCTGGGGGACTCCCAGGAGCCGTGCCCATATTCCCAGGGGTCCCGGAAGTTCTCCTGCTTGCTGGAGGTCCCGGAGGGAGACAACTCCTTGTATGTCGTGTCCCTGTGCATCAGCAACAGTGCTGGAAGCAAGTCCAGCAAACCCCACACGTTTGAGGGCTACGGAATCTGTGAGTAAGCTCTCCCAGTACCCCAGCCTTGACGCCCCCGTGCCCTCTGATGGCCCCTCATAGATGCTCGGGGTGGGGGGCTGGGAGGGGCTGGGTGGGGCTGGTGCTGTGGTTTGCTGAGCCGGTGCCTTTTGGGGCTTCCTTTGCCAGGGGCCTGGCAGGTGGACGGGGGCCCTGGCAAGATGGCACGGGGAAGTGGTCTGGGCGCTGGGGTGGGGTGCTGCCTGTTTTGGGGGGACGTGCACCACACTCGCTGCCGCATGGGAGCCTGCTCTCCTCCCCCACAGTGCAGCCTGACCCGCCTGCCAACGTCACTGTCACTGCTGTGGACGGAAACCCCCGCTGGCTCAGTGTCACCTGGAAAGACCCCCCCTCCTGGAACTCCTATTTCTACAGGCTGCAGTTTGAGCTCCGTTACCGGGCTGAACGGTCACAGACATTCACCACGTGGATGGTAAATTCTTCTTTCATTTCTGGACAGCAGAGTGTGGCTGGGTACTCAGGGTTACTGGAACGGAAAACACGGTTCTGGGTGCTGCTCTGTGACTCAGCCTGCAGGCCTTAGGGGAGTCTCTGACTCCTCCTGAGCCTTGGTTGTCTCGTGCAGCAAATAGGAACGATGATCACAGGCCTGTCTGAGAGGACGCACAGGACCGCGGCAGGCAGTTGGGCCTCACGCGGGTTGAGGGCGTGGCCTGCAGGGTTCTGTGGGCAGGACTTACAGCTTCCACCGCCTGGGCCCAGGGGAGCCCCATCGCGCCCTGAGGCTCTGAGCATCTCTGTGCAGCCTGGAGCTCTCACTCCCTGGACCTGAGAGAGCATGCAGCTGAAGGGCAGGGTGGTCAAGGGCTGCCTGACCAGACCCCCCCCAGGCCTCACCCCACTGTCGCTGTGCCCCCTGCCTGCAGGTCCAGGAGCTCCAGCACCACTGCATCATCTACGATGCCTGGAGAGGCATGCAGCACGTGGTGCAGCTCCGGGCACGGGAGGAGTTTGGGCACGGCTCCTGGAGCTCGTGGAGCCAGGAGGCCACGGGCACCCCCTGGACAGGTACTGTGGTGGGCGTGGCATGGTGGGTGTGGCGGGGGGATGTTTCAGCTTTGTGGCTGTGTAGCAAGTCACCCCCAAAGCGGTGCTGAAACAGCAACCATGTATCCACTCAAGATTTTGGAAGGAAGCCAGGTAGGCAGTTCCCGCCCAGACCTGCGACACCAGCTGCCGGTCTGACTTGCGGTGCTGGTGGCAGCTGGGGCCTTCGGCTCTCCCTGTCGCCATCACCTTCCTGCCGGCCACAGAGGCGCAGGCGGGGGAAGTCACTCCACAGCTTGATGGGAGGAACCACAAAGAATTTGTAGCTGTGTTTGGTGTACCACAGTTACTAAAAGATGTTAAAGGTGATAATAATTTCCTTTGGGGAATTACTGAAATTACTGTGCTTGATATAGACCATGAAAAATTCCACAAATGTATGAAAAATAATTATTATCAGTATCTTTACCACCTCGAGAAAACCAGTGAGAATATTTTAGCATGCTTCTTTTGTTTTTCTAAGTACATTTGCGTGTGTGTGTGTGTGTGTGTGTGTGTGTGTGTGTGTGTGTGGAGAATACTGTGAGCATTCTCATGTTATCAAATATTTTCCAAAAATGTGTTGTTTTGTAACTGCATGATTAATGTGTTTTTTTTAACTGCTGAAATTTTTTTTTTAAGATTTTAAAAATTTATTTATTAGAGAGAGAGTGTGAGAGAGAGATCATGAGCAGGGGGGAGGGGTAGAGCCCGACGCGGGGCTCGATCCTGGGACCCTGGGACCATCAGCTGAGCCGAAGGCAGATGCTTAATGACTGAGCCACCCAGGCGCCCCCGAAATTCTGTTTTGTTGGAAAGTTCTTTCTTTGTCTTTAAAAAACGCTGAATCGTGGTAAAATATATGTAACTTAATTTTTACCACTGTAGCCATTTTTAAGTATCTGTTCTGTGGAGTGAAGGACAATTTTGCTGTTGTGCAGCCGTCCCCCCATCCACTCCCAGAACTCTCCATCCTGCAGAACTGAAACTTTGTCCCCAACAAACACGGAGGGGACCACCACCTGCTCTCTGTCTCTGAGAGTCACTCCTCATGTAAGTGGAATCAAATGGTAGTTGCCTTTTGGAGACGGGTCTATTCCACGCAGCGTGATGTCCTCCAGGTTCATCCTTGTTGTAGCAAATGTCCGAGTTTCCTTCCTCTTTGAGGCTGTGGAATATTCGTGCATGATGGACCACGTGTTGCCCGTCCACTGATCTTGGACAGACACTTGAGTTGCTTCCACTTTCTGGATGCCGTGGCAGACGCTGTAGTGAACACCGCTGTACAAGTATCTGTTTGGGGCCCTGCTTTCAGATATTTTGAGTAAATACCCAGAAGGGAAATTGCTACCTCATACAGTTTTATTTTTAATTTTTTGAGGAACTACCACACTGTTTTCCACCATGGCTGCACCATTTTACATTCTCTTCAGCAATGCCCAGGGGTCCAATCACATCCTCCTTCACACTTGGGATTTTCTGTGTTTCGTGTGTTTGTTCTTTGATAATAGCATCCTACTGGGTGTGAAGTGGTATTGTGAGGTTGATTTGCATTTCCATAATGAATAGTGATGGTTGAGTATCTTTTTATGTGCTTCTGGCCATTTGTATGTCTTCCTTGGAGAAATGTCTGCTCAAGAAGAAAGTTCTTTCGGGCGCCTGGGTGGCTCAGTTGGTTGAGCAACTGCCTCCGGCTCAGGTCATGATCCTGGAGTCCCGGGATCGAGTCCCGCATCGGGCTCCCTGCTCGGCGGGGAGTCTGCTTCTCCCTCTGATCCTCTCCCCTCTCATGTGCTCTCTCTCATTCTCGCTCTCTCAAATAAATAAATCTTAAAAAAAAAAAAGAAAGTTCTTTCCCATGTGAACCCCACCTTGTCTTCTGGGGTAACTTGAGACAAGGCTGCTGGTCTGCTCTCCCAAAGTTCTCCGGGACTCCCAGAGGACCCGTGTCTGCTCGGGTGTCTCTTCCCAGGCTGCTGTGTGGGATGGCCTGTGGGTTCCTTACCTGGTCTCCTTTGTGGATGTCCTTCTTGACATTATTGACATCGCCCCCCACAGTGGGAGACGGTGCAACTGGGCCACCTGGCCAGCACTGGGTCCAGGCTCTCACTGTTCAGCTTTGGGCTGCTAGGCTTCTGTGCCTTGCTGGAGTGACCCGCGGAGGCTCAGACAGGACACGTATCTCCTCTTCTAAGCAGCTGAAGCATTCAAGAACCCCATCCTGTGCACGGGTGGTTTTGGGGGGTCCTCAAAGCCAGTGGCAAATGTGCCCAGGAGAGAAACTGGCTGCGTTCCTCTTCTCCCCCCCGCCCCCCGGCTGAGGGCAGAGCCAGAGGAGCTTGGGTGGCTCATGTGAGGGGGCTGAGGTTGGAGATTGGGGAGCACCTCTGGAGAGTGAAGTTTAGTGAGTTTTACTGACAGTGCAGTTCCTTGGCTGTTTGGGGCACCAGTGGGCTTCCCAACCCCCAGGACCTGAAGATGCAGGCTTTTCTTGCCTCCCACAGCCTCAGCGTGGGGTTGGTGACCTCTGGGGGGCCCGGGGCTTGTGGAAGCACGCTGGACTGGGGAGTCAAGCTGTAGGACCTTTCAGAGCCTTAGCCCTGTCATGTGTCAGGGGGATGATGCTGTGATCTGTCTTGTTCCCTTCGGAGAGTTGTTTGTTTTTTTAAAACAAGCTCTGGCCAGTTTTATTAAAGAAATACTTTGCATGATTTACTTTTCACCAGTCTGTTCTGGCCTGCCCCTCGTGATAGCAGACTTGTCTGGATGGGCGGCCGCTGGGTGTGCCCTCTGCGCTCTCTTCCACGTGAGCTGCCCCTGGTGTGGCGGGCCCCAGCGTGGGCTGACGTGCGTGGCGCTTTGTCCCCCGTGACCCCAGGCCAGGCAGGTGCTGACAGGGACGGCCAGTCTTTCTCTCTGCCTGTCTGCTCATCTTTAGGGTCTGCTTGGGGCCAGGCACACACCGTCCCCTTTTCCTGAAACGTTGGAGCCTACAGATGATTGACTCCAGTGACTTTTTTGTTCCCCACCCCAAGGGCAACCGCCAAGATGGCCAGGACGGAGACCCCTTGCAAAAGCTTTTATGAGCGCAAAGAGAAAACATCCTTCAGGAATAGTGGTGCATCAGCAGTTGGGGGCGTTAGTGATGCAGTGTTGCTTCGTTCCTGGGGTGACAGGAGGCAGGCTGTCGGTGTCCCAGGATCACTACTGGACACCAACCCGGAGCCGCTCAAGTGGGATGGGCGGTGTGGAGAAACTTTCCCAGTGGTTGTGGAGTGTGCAGGGGGTGTTTGCCCGACTATAGTGTTGGCAGGCTGTGAGGCACCCCGCTCCTGGGGGGCCCAGAGAGAGCAGGAAAAGCTTCATGGGAGGAGGTTTTTGAGTCGTGTGGTGGAGGGAGTGTGGGAGCGTCCCCATAGAGATGGGGATTATAGGCTATCTGTGTGGCAGGTGGAAAGGGGGCTTTGGGTGAGGCTGGAGCACAGGTGTGTGAGTCACAGGACCGGGCGGGGCAGGTGCAGCTGGCCTTGGAAAGTCTGCTTGAGGGTGGAGTGGAGGGTGGAGAGGGCTGGAGCGGGGGGTGCTCCAGCCAGTAAGGCCGTGCCCCCTGACAGCACCTGATGCATGGTGAGCTGCCCCTGATGTCTGGCCGCAAGGAGGGGTCACAGCGTGGAGGCTGTGGGAGGGCTTCTCCAGACCCCTCCTCCCTCAGCTCTCACGGGGTGACCTTGAGCAAGCCTGGGCTCCCCAGAGCCCCTCAGCAAAGAGAGTGTGGGCCAGGGGCCTGGGAAGCCCACGAGGATAAGCGGGTTATGTCTCGCTGCACACAAACCCTTCGACCTGCTCACCCACTGCTCACCCACGCTCAGGAAACAAGTAGCACTGATCGGCCTTCGGGTGCCCAGAGCTCAGACCCTCCAGCCCCCTGCTTCTGTCCCAAGAGGGAAAGTCTGCACCTTCAAGAACCCCTGAGCACATGTTTCTGGAGAGACTGTGCCTGCGGCACTCAGCCCCGCTCCTGACAGGCCCTCTTCCCATGCCTGGCCCCTTGCTCGCCGCCCTCCCGCGGACCTGAAGCGGGCCCGGCCACACATGCATGTGCACACCCGGCCTGGCCGCACACGCACACACACGCACACACACAGAAACCGGCCTGGCCGCACACGCACACACACACACACCCAGCCTGGCCGCACACGCACACACACCCGGCCTGGCCGCACACACACGCACACACGCCCGGCCTGGCCGCACACGCACACACACCCACACCCACCCACACACACGCGCACACACGCTCGCACGCCCGGCCTGGCCGCACACGCGCACACACGCTCGCACGCCCGGCCTGGCCGCACACGCGCACACACGCTCGCACGCCCGGCCTGGCCGCACACGCGCACACACGCTCGCACGCCCGGCCTGGCCGCAGTCACCAGTGTGCTGCTCTAACTCGCCAGGTCCTGGGCCCTGGGATTCCGCTGTCTTTGGGAACCATGTAAGGTTGCCAACTTTTAATTTTCCTAAGTAAGGACATAAACAGTTAAGTAGAAACTAGCAATTGGCATTTACTGTTACCATGATTTCATAAAAGAAGAGAGGGCCGCGTGGGCCGCGCGGGTGTCCTGCAGCCTTTGGGCCAGTTTTCCGCTCTGGCCCCGGAGCAGCGGGCTTCCCTGCAGACCAGCGGGGGTGACTGACTGCTCCGCAGGAGCAGTTCCTCCCTGAGGGTTTGGTGTCTGCTCGAAGGGGAGCAGTGGTTGACTTTCTGGCGGGTGGTTTGCAGGTGTGAAGCAGTGAGGGAACCCCAAGTGGGAAGCTGTGCCGGAAGCCCGCCCCCTGCCCCCTTCCTGCTCCGGTGCTGGGGTTCGTCCCTAGCCCCCGAGCCCTGCCCTTAACTGCTCACAATATATAAACAGTTAGAAAAAAATGTTTTCTGTTCTCTGCCCCCCCTCATTTTTTATCCATATTGAAATGTAATTGGCATATAACATGGTATTAGTTTCAGGTGTACACCTTAATGATTTGATATTTCTGTTGCTGAATGGTGATCACATTAAGTCTACTTAGCATCCGTTTGATCACATTAAGGTTGCGTAGCATCCGTTACCACACGCATAGTTACAAATTTCTTTTTGTTGTGATGACGACTTTTAAGGTCCACTCTCCTAGCAACTTTCAAATATGCAGTGCAGTACTATTAGTCATGGTCATCATGCTGGGCATCACGTCCCCGGGGCCCGTTATGTTCTTTGTTCCTAATGCTGAGAGTCAGGTCAGTGTTTAAGCTATTATGTGCCAGGCAGGCGCTCCTTTCAGCGTAGGTGTGTCTGGGAGGAGGCCAGCCCCCTTGCTCGGAATGCCTGGGAGATGTTCAGTGTCTTGGCCAAGATCATTTATCTGTCAAGACCTCTGCCATCTTTTATATTGCATTTCTCTATCCTAAAACCCAAGCAAATGAACTCAAACCTGTCCTCAAGTTAATGGAAATGAGTTCCTTGTTTTTAAAAACTCGTGTGGGAAAAAAGGAAAACCCCACATGTGGTCTCTCAATCTTGTCATTCATTCATTTTGTTATGAAAGTGAAAGTACCTCCTCTAATCTTGGAAATAGTCCGTACAAGGAAAACATGCAGCGGCAACTACATTTAATGTTTCAAATAGTCTTCCCTAAGTGCTTTTCCATAGTAGAAATTTTACTAACTACACAGTTTTTCAGAAAGATGTGTTAAATTCTAGGTTCACAAAGATGAGTAAGATAGAGTCTCTGAATCTGAGGAATGCTCAACCTAGCGATGGTTTTAAAAATAAAAAAAAAGCCCAGGGGCATCTGGGTGGTGTGGTCAGATAAGTGTCCAGCTCTTGATCTCAGGGTCAGGAGATCGGCGAGCTCCGTGCTCAGCCAGGAGTCGGCTGGAGATTCTCTCTCTCCCTCTGCCCCTCCCCCTGCTTCTGCTCTCTCCAATAAATAAGTTAATCTTAAAAAAAAAAAAAAGAAGTTCATTCTTAGAGCCTGAAAGACTTATTTCTTACAAAACTTTGGACACATTCTTTAACCGCCCCGTGCCTCAGTTTCCCCATCTGTGAAGTGGGGAAATCATGATACTGTCTCAGAGTATTGTTGCGGAGACTACAGAGATTGATCCATGCCAGGTGGGGAGATTGGCACATAGCAGGCGCTCAGTAAATGCTGGAGATCATTACAGTTGGTGTGGTTTTGTTGCCACAAGTCATTTCCAGGCACACGAGGGCCTGTGGCTGTCTGTTCCTTCCCCTCCTTCACCCAACATGCCAGCTGAAGGGAGACTTTAGGAAATATGAAATACTTTTGCCGAAACAGAAAAAATATGTGCTCCCTTTCTGAGCCTCGGTGTCTTTGTGAGACGGAGCTCCACACGGGGGCCCTGGGAGCCTGTGGTGGAACGGAGCCTCGGGCCGAGGAGCCTGGGTCTGGCGTAGAGACCTGCCCACAAAGGCTGGTGCTAGCTTCCCTAGTGGCAGTCACCTAACGTCCCTTGAGCCCTGGTCTCTTCGTCTGCCAAGTGAAGTGATTATTATTCACAACAATGCGAAAGTTGCTTTACCTTCCATCTCTGGGGACATGATGGTCTGAATCGGGTCCCCATGGTCATCTCGGGCGTTTTTAAAAAGTCTTATTATGTAAGACTTAATTTTCTTATGCATTAGAAAAACTGCATTCATTCTGGGTTGAGATAAAATTTCTACTTTATACTCGGAAATCTAAGCCACCAACAGTTAAACATCCTTCTCTGGACCACATGCCATGTTGGGGATCAGAGCTGAGGGTAGAAACTGGATGGGTCTCCCCTTCTAACTGATCATCTCTCTGGATTTGGAGAGCCTTTAAAACTGCCTGATGTCTGGGTCCCATCCCCAAGGTTCTGAGGCCGTAGGTCAAGGATGGGACCCCAAAGCCCACAGATGATGCTGAGTGTGGCTGAGTGTGGGAGGCCCTGCATCCAATGGCCATCTGGGGTTAACCGTATCCCCTGGGTAGGGCTGCCCCCGACTCCTGGTTTTTGCTTTCATTCGTACCCTGTACCCTCTGCTCATCCTTCCGTCACCCCTGCTGTGAGTCTACCTGTTCTTGGCTAGGGAGGAACACCAAGGAATCAGGCTGGGTCCTTCCCAGTCCCCAAGGCTGGTTTGGGGCTGATTTGCTGTGTGATCTTGGGCAAGTAGCTTTACCACTCTGGGACTCTGTTTCCTCTGTACAGTGGGGAGGGTGGACATGCTCTGCCGTCTGCTCCAGGCTGCTAGTGTGCGGTTTCCTCCCCTCCTGGGGGTGGCACAGTCCTGCTGGAAATTCTCTCCGAGGAGAGAGCAGTACCGCCCTCTCCTCTGTCCCTTCTTCTACTCCTGCTTCAGGGAGGCTCTACATCTTTGCGTAAACTACTTCTGTGGTATTTTTAACTTCTTGATGGAAAAATGATGGACTGAAAAGAAAATATTTTAAAATCCAGAGCATTCCACCCGTTGCCTGTCACAGTTCAGCTCTGAGTCCCTTGGCTCACATTTGCCACAGAGCCTGGCCTTGCATTCATGCTCTTGCTTCGATGCTTGACCCCCTGCTGCTGGCGGTGGGGGGGCGGTTTCTTTTTTATTTTATTTTATTTTATTTATTTATTTGACAGAGAGAGACACACAGTGAGAGAGGGAACACAAGCAGGGGGAGTGGGAGAGGGAGAAGCAGGCTTCCCGCTGAGCAGGGAGCCCGATGCGGGGCTCGATCCCAGGACCCTGGGACCATGACCTGAGCCGAAGGCAGACGCCTAACGACTGAGCCACCCAGGCGCCCGGGGGTGGGGGGCGGTTTCTGCAGAAATAATGCTCTCAGGAGGGGGGGGTGCTCGTGTGTGTGCCCGAATCACGTCCCTTCTTGGGTCAAGCCTACCAAACCCACCCAGGCAGATGAGAACTTGTTTAAATATTTTTTTGTTGCAAAAAGGTGAGTAGGAGAACATTAAAATGTTAACAATGCTTGGGCGCCTGGGTGGCTCAGATGGTTAAGCACCTGCCTTCGGCTCAGGTCATGGTCCTGGGGTCCTGGGATCGAGTCCCGCATCGGGCTCCCTGCTCCACGGGAAGCCTGCTTCTCCCTCTGCTTCTCTCTCTGTCTCTCATGAATAAATAAATAAAATCTTTAAAAAATAATGCTTATATCTGGTGATGTGTCCTTGTCTTTTTTCCTGTGTGTGAATGTGTTATGGTGTATAGTATAATACTCGATAAATAATGATATAAATACGTTTCTTTAGGGACTTTGGATCAGACCACATGAGCCTTTCTTTGTCTTGTGTTTTTCATACATTATATCCTCAATGTTTTTCTAATTTATTTATTTATTTATTTTAAAGATCTTATTTGCGCGCGCGCGAGAGAGAATGTGAGCAGGAGGAGGGGTAGAGGGAGAGGGAGAGAGGGAATCTTAAGCAGGCTCCACTCTGAGTGTGGAGCCCTGTGTGAGGCTCGATCTCACGACCCTGAGATCATGACCTGACCCGAAACCAAGAGTGGGACACTCGACTGACTGCACCACCCAGGCGCCCCTTTTCTAATTTATTTTTAAAGACTATTGCAACATACGGGTATATCCTCATTTCTATAACTAATCCCTTGGGGTTGACTACTTGGTTATTTCTAACGTAAAGCTCTCTTAAATAACACGGCAGTGAGTTCTTCCCTGCTCCTGAGGCCCGTCAGATGGGACTTCAGGGTCGGTGGATCATTAATAGTGAGTCTCCCCCCCCGCCCGCCACAGAATCCAGGAGCCCTGCAGCTGAGACTGAGGCATCGTCCTCCACACAGGTGAGCTCGTGTTCTCGTAAGGGGTCAGGGTAGCAGCACCCAGGGGTGGGGACTGTGGGCTGGCACCAGACCGAATTGGGGTCAGATCCCAGCTCTGCACTGAAGCTGTGGCCGTGGACGTTACTGTCGTCTTCAAGCCTCTGTAAAACGGGGTGAGGGCAGTTCCGACATCCCAGATCCGTTGCGGCCATGGTGGCGCGTGGAGCGGCGCTGGCCTGGCCTGCAGAACCCCTGGGTCTCGTGGCTTCTGTCTCACCTCCGGACTGGTGGACATCACTGAGGGCCTCGCTTGTGACTCCGGTTCAGTTCATCCGAGCCCTTCCTCTGTGCGCTCCTGGTGTCTTAATTTTCTGGAAAGAAAGCTGCTTAACAAATCTTTGGGTAATCCAGTTTCCCATCCAACTGCATGTCCTCCTGTGGTCCTCAATCCCCTAAGGGCCAGCTGAGCTGCGAGGCTCAGCGCCTCCTGGAGCTAGGCGGCCCGGGGAGGGAGCCTGGGGCCTTGCTCCTTACCCATATCTGCAGGGCTCTCTGGGCACCAGCAGAAGCGGCTTCCGGGGGAAGCCTATGCGGTGCGGCCACATCGCTCCCACCCGAGCCAGGGCGTGGGGACGGATGCTGGCTGGGGGCCGGCTCAGCTGTGCTCTGCTCTGGGCTTGCACCTGCAGTCCTGTTCCATCCTGATGATAGTGAGGTTCAGAGCACAGGATGGCTGTGCCTAGAAGGGAAGAAGGTGACACCCACAGAGGTTCCAAAATCTGCCCAAGGTCACAGAGCTAGTGAGTATGGGCCCAGGATTCTGGTCTGTGGTTTTCCCAGGACATGGTGGCACGTATGCCCTGGCGTGGGACCTGGGGGACAGTGCTGTGTTCACCTGTCTGTTGAGTCTCCTCTGGGGAAGGTGCTGTGCCCCCGGCTCTTGGTGGAGAGGCAGATGGGAGGAAGTCCCACCTTGAGTAGGCAAGTCCCACTATAGACACAACTAGTACAAATAATAGTGCAGATGCTGAGTGTGTCAGGTCAGAATGGAGAGGTCCCTGAGACAGAGGGCAGATGGTTTTGGAGGGGGTGCCTGAGCTGGGACCCAAATGATGGTGGGATCTGCAGAAACGGGCTGACGGGGGACTCTCTCTTTTAGGCACTGACTACTAACAAGGACAATGAAAGTCATCTCTCTAAAAATCCTGCAAATGCAACCAGCCTCCCAGGTAAGGACTGGGTATTTTTTCTGGTGGTCTAAGGGGCACAGAATGCTTGTCTGCAGAAAGTCCTTTCTGACTTGGAAATGTTACCAGAAGGCCAGTCTGCAGAAGGAAAGGGGCAACGGCAGAAATGCTGAGGGAACCATAAGCAGAGTGGTGCAGACCAGTGAAATGTGCCTCAGTTGGCCCAGAATACGAATACATGTGCCACAGACAACGTTACTGGAGTCTGAAATGGAAAACGTGTTGAGGGAAGCCTTTATTTTGGGTGCCCTTGACTCCAGGGCTCTGCTTCCCTATTACCTGTGAGACCAGGAGAGCTTACCAACATCTGCACCAGGAAGAGTCACGGGTCCGCCCTACGTGGGGCCTCCTTGGGTCTGGACTCTGGAGCCTCAGCCCTGGGGCAGCCACGTCTGACAGCTCTTGGCTTTCCCTCCGCCCCCATGCAGGCTACCCAGTTAGCTCCACTAACTGCCTGGGGCTGGGGACTCAAGGCGAGTGAGCCCCTCCCCCCTGCTGTCCGGGGTGCGGGGCCCTCGGGCTCTCAGACAAAGAGGCCGCTGTAAGTTAACAGAGGGCTGGGAGACGGGCCAAACAGAGGCGGAGGTAGAGCAAAGGGCGGCTTAGAAATACCACAGGGCATGTCCAGTTGGGGATCACAGAAGGTTCCGTGGCCTTGAGTGGTGGAGGTGTGGCAGGGAGGGGAGGCTAGGGTGCCGCTCCAGGGCTGCGGTGGGGGATGAGCTCGTCCAGCCCCATCTCTGTAAAAGGCTGTCTGTGGGCTGATGACTCCCAAATTCAGATCCCGCGTCTGATAACCCAGAGTCAACTATCCAACGGCCTGGGTGACCTGTCCACTTGGTGTGACGCTCACGAGAAATCTCAAGCTTAGGTCTGAGACAGACCCTCGATGCCGCCTCTCCTTGCCGGCCCAAATCTTTTCTCCTCCATCCTCCTCATCTTTTTTTCTTTTTTAAGATTTTATTTATTCATTTGAGACACAGAGATACAGAGAGAGAGAGAGAGAGAGAGCATGAGCAGGGAGAGAGGCAGAGGGAGGAGCAGGCTTCCCGCTGAGCAGGGAGCCCGATGCGGGGCTTGATCCCAGGACCCCGGGACCACGACCTGAGCCGAAGGCAGATGCTCAACAACTGAGCCCCCAGGCGCCCCCCAGCCCCCCATCCTCCTCATCTTGGTAACTGGCACACATTCGCTGGGTTGCTCAAGCTGGGGCGGGGGTTGGGGGGCGGGCATGCTCCCTCTTCTACCCCTGCCCATGGCCAGTCCCTTAGCGGAGACACATCCGGGAGCTGTCCTTCTCACCACCACAGCACCTGGGCCCTCCGCCATTGGCTCTCCCCTGCCCTGTGGGACTTCAGGAGCTGCCTGCTGGTCTCCCGGCTTTCATTGTTAACCCCCAACAGACTCTTTTCCGACTAGCAGCCAGAGTGACTCTGAGATCGCACGTCCAAGCTCTGGTCTCTGTGGGGTCAGGCCCCATCCTTAGACCTTGCCTCCCCCATTCTCCCTGTCACTCACTTTGCCCTCCTTGCTCTTCAGCACATGCCCACCTCAGGGCCTTTGCACGTACTACTTTGCTCTGCCTGCATGCTCTTCCTCCAACCTCCACTAGGTCAGCTTCTTTACACATCCAGGTCTCTGCTCAGATGCCCCCTTGTCAGGGGGCCTGTCCCAGCCACCCCATCTGGTGGAGCTCCCCTGCTGTCACTCTGTTCTTCCTCTGATTTTCACTGTCACTACTGAGGTCGTATTACACATTCGTTTGTCTTTCCCATGATTACAATGTAAGATCCAGGGGCTCCTGGGTGGCTCTGTCGGTTGAGTGTCCGACTCTTGGTGTCAGCTCAGGTCTTGATCTCAGGGTCGGGAGTTCAAGCCCTGCATTGGGCTCCATGCTGCTTGAGGACCAAGTGGAGGGACAGGTAAGACATGACACCCCATTGGAGAAAACTTGGTTTATTTTTATTTTTTAAAGATATTATTTATTTATTTGACAGAGAGAGACAGCGAGAGAGGGAACACAAGCAGGGGGAGCGGGAGAGGGAGAAGCAGGCTTCCCGCGGAGCAGGGAGCCCGATGCGGGGCTTGATCCCAGGGCCCTGGGACCATGACCTGAGCCGAAGGCAGACGCTTAACAACTGAGCCACCCAGGCGCCCCGAAAACTTGATTTAACCCAAGCTCCTGACATTGTCCTCAGTGGGGCTGCCATTGGTGACGTCCCCAGAGCCTTCGGTGTCTTGCACCCCCTGTGCCTTGTGGGGACAGGCTGAACCCCACTAGGAAGGCCGCGCTGAGTGGGCGTCTGCGGCTGGCCACAGGAGCTCGGAAACTTGGAGCAGCTCCAAGTGGTGGGATCCTGGGGTCAGATTTGCCGGGGCCAGAGCGCTGGCCTGCTGGTCCGCAGAGCGTTCCCTCCTCTAGGGCGGAGGTTCCTTTGCGGCTTTGGACTGTACCCGCTGAGTGGCTTCTCTCCCTCTTCCTGCTGCTGATTCTCCTAGTGCAAGACTCTTCTTCGGTGCCGCTGCCCGCCTTCCTGGTGGCTGGAGGAAGCCTGGCCTTTGGGACTCTCCTGTGCATCGGCATCGTCCTCAGGTGAGTGGGGCTGGGGCGGCCGGAGGCGGCCCCCTCCTCCTCCTCGGGCTGATTTGGGGTGTATTAGAGGGGGAACTGACGAGACTGGATGGCACATTAGATGAGGAGGAGAGGGGGCGCGTCAGGGTGGCCCTCGAGTCTCTGGCCTCGGCAGCGGGGCGGATGGCGGTGTCAGTCCCGCAGAGACTGGGGGACGGCAGGGGGCAGTGATTCTGCTTGGGGGCGCGGAGTTTGAGGTGCCTGTGAGAAGCCCGGGCGGACATGTTTGGTAGACGGTTCGGATCACTGCCGACGAGTGGGGACGACACAGATGAGGCCGTGACAGTCCCTGTGGAATTCGGAGGCTGGACACTTGGGGGGACGCGCAGGGACTGGGAAGCCTGCTTGATAGAAGCGGAGGGGGCGGCGTCTGTCAGACACCGAGGAAGCCCCTCAGGCTCGGGGCCGCCGTGTAATATGACCTTGCCTGTCCTCCAAGAGCCACATACCGACGTGGTTGTAGGGCCACGTGAGAAACGCCACGGAAATCTGTGAACAGGCAAGTCCGAGGTGCCTGGCCAGACCCCCTTGGGGATACTCCATAGCTCAAAGCGAGCAGACCTAGAGGGTCACCTTTCAGTGCTCTGTCCGGGCCTGTCCTCCAGCGCCGGTGAGTTGGCGCCATGCCCGCGTTGCTCCATCTCTCTCTCTCTCTCTCTCCCGTTGGCCATTGGTTTTGTCCCTGTTCCCAAGTTTGCAGGGACGTCAGCCAGCAGTACCCCTCCTACGGGGGCAGCAAAGAACACGCCCGGTGCTCACGACTGTAGTGCAGGCCCTTGCGGTTTTGCATGTGCCGAAGACCTAAGAAGACGTAAAGGAGGTCAGGCCAGGCCCTGGCATGGATGGCGGCCCTCGGCGAAGAGAGTACGAGTGCAGGAGGAACCTCAGTCTGTCCCTCCTCCTTCTCCCTCGTGTGTGGCTTTCCAGTGTTCTTGTGGTGACTGTGAGGGGAGGCTTCGGGGTGTCTGGGGAGGAAGGGGTAGAGAGACTTCCCCACTTGTGGGATCCCCACAGAGACTCAACCGGCTTTGCCACCAAGGTGGTCTGGGTTGGAAGATGAGCAAGGTGACGTCTCAGACGGTGTTCCGGGCTGTGTCCGCTCCGATTCCCCAGGGAAGAGGCGAGCAAGTTGCCCGCAGGGTGTGCAGGAGACAAGGCTCCGAGTGTGTGCAGGTCACTCATGGAGGGGCTGAGAGCTCACTGTCTTGTGTGGACCAGACAGGGGCCGTGCCAGCGTGCCGTGTTCCTCCTCCCGCCTCCCGAGGGACCCACACAGACCCGACAGAGTACCCGGCAGATGAGACGGGAGCTGGGAGGGTCGGGGTAATGACAGCTGGTGCTGAGACAACCGACTCCAGCCCAAAGCTCATGCTCTTGGGATAGGGCCTTATGGGTCCGTTCGTCAAATTCTTTAATTTTACAAACGAGGAAACAGCTTTGAGAGGTGAGATAACTTGCCCAAGGGTGCAAGCTTGTTACTAGCAGAGCCAGGGCTAGAACCCGTGTCCCAGCATCCCTGCCCACCAGGCTAGCCTGCTCTCGGCTGACAGGTGGGCCCAGTGGCTTTGTCAACAAGCTGCGCCATCTTGGTGTGCTGTGGGCCACTGGTGGAGAAGTGTTAGGTTGGGACTGACCACCCCATTCCTCATGAACCTTGTTTGCCAATCTGTGGACGGTTTGTGGACATGGGCTCGTTGCTATGCAGCTGGTGCCCTGGAGACGCGGACGGGGCGAGTGTCCTGTGTGGACGCTCGTCAGTGGTTTGTCTCCTAGCCTGGTGAGGTTCCGTTTTCTCTTGTGTTAAGCAAATGTATTTGGGAACAGGCCAGTTATTTCAAGTGATGTCCCCAAAGCCCACATGTGGAGAAAGGTGTATAAACTTGGGGAAGCTGGGAATTTGGGAGAGCCACGGCAGGCGCCGGGGTGCCACGTCACGGCAGGTGGAATGTAGCAGGCTGGCTGACGCACAGCCTGCCTGCCCGTCATACCGTGTTTTTCTGGGTAATACATTTATTGTGCGTCTCAAGCAAAGCATAGTATTTCCTAAAATTTTCCCACCATTATTCGTGACAATTAAAAAACATTTAAATGTGCCTTTGGAAACAGGTGTGGCAGCTTCTGAAGCAGGTGTTCTCACTCGGGCTGCTTCCCCCAGCCAACACCCCCCTGCGCTCCTCCCGTGGCTCACGGCTCGAGGCGTGGGAGACAGGATTTTCAAAGCGGAGAGTTACTTTTCCGCATAATTATCGGGAATGGAGTGGCACTTGAGTGAGGACTTACTGTGGGCATGCCTGCTTAAATCATCATGAATCAACTGTGTGTCTCATTCCAATAGTTTAAAACCACTGAAAACACAGGGCACTCCTGGTCGCCACGGGGGTGACTGTGTCCGCTGTCTTCTCACTAGGGCTTGGTTTCTCTGTGTCACTTGTTTAAAAGAGTGACAGTCGTTCTAAATGTTTCTAATATTTTGTTTTAGCTGCAGAGCCTTTTCTTTAAGTAAAACGCCATGAAGCACAAAACGTGCGGCAGACAGAAGGCACAGGGGCTGAGGTGTATGAGGCCGGGCAGCGAGTCCCCACCCTCTCTAGCCCTTGGCCCACCCGGACCCCCACTCAGGCCAGAGCAGCGCCCACTGTGGACACCCCGAGCCTGGCTGCTCTCGAAGTCGCTTTGAGCTTAGTGATTTTTAGGAAGCGTCTCATTCACTCAAAATATTTCTTTTTTTAAAAAAATTTTTTATTCTTATGTTACTCACCATATATTACATCATTTGTTTTGGTGTAGTGTTCCATGATTCATTGTTTGTGCATAACACCCAGTGCTCCACGCAGAACGTGCCCTCTTTAATACCCATCACCAGGCTAACCCATCCCCCTACCCTCCCCCCCTCCAGAAACCTCAGTTTGTTTTTCAGAGTCCATCATCTCTCCTGGTTCGTCTCCCCCTCAGACTTACTCCCCTTCATTCTTCCTCTCCTGCTATCTTCTTCTTTTTCTTTTTTCTTAAAACATGTTGCATTATTTGTTTCAGAAGTACAGACCTGTGATTCAACAGTCTTGCACAATTCACAGCGCTCACCGTAGCACATGCCCTCCCCAATGTCTATCACCCAGCCGCCCCGTCCCTCCCACCCCCCACCACTCCAGTAACACTCAGTTTGTTTCCTGAGATTAAGAATTCCTCATATCAGTGAGGTCCTATGATACATGTAAAATATTTCTTTTTTTTTAAAAGATTTTATTTATTTGACAGAGAGAGACACAGCGAGAGAGGGAACACAAGCAGGGGGAGCGGGAGAGGGAGAAGCAGGCTTCCCGCCGAGCAGGGAGCCCGATGCGGGGCTCGATCCCAGGACCCTGACCCATGACCTGAGCCGAAGGCAGACGCTTAATGACTGAGCCACCCAGGCGCCCAGCCGCTGTTAATTTTTAAAACATAAATGTGACCAAAGTCCAGCAAACACACAGGAAACTGAGGTGCTGCGTGTGCAGCTCCACGAGCATGCACAACGTGACCACACCCCTGCAGTCCGCATCCAGATCGAGATGTGTTCATGTTAGGTGAGCTTCCTGAGGCTCTTTCCTCGGCCGAATTTCTTGTTTTTATGTTGCCGTGATGACTCTGCATCTACAACTGAGTCCTGCCTTTTACCTTTAGCATCAACTGTAACGTAAGCATGTTCCTGCCTCATTTCGCTTCTCTGTAGCACTCACTCAACCTCGGCTGCAGGCGCGGCCAGGCCGGTGTGCCCAGGCTCATGCACCAGCCTCAGCTGCAGGGGGTTTAGCTGGTTTTGCTCTTACAGACAACACTGTGTGGAACGGCCTTGAGCAGAAAGCTTTTCCCACAGCTCTGCAGTTTCCTTAGGGTGTATTCCCAGAAGTGGAATTCCTGGGTCAGAGGGTCTGAGTATTTGGCAACCCCAAGTGTCCTGACTGCCCCTGTTGTGTCCGGAGGGAGGTGGCTCCCCCGAGGCCCCTGCTGCGCTGGGTGCCTGCCGTGCCGAGTGGGGACCTGCAGTCACGCCCCGCACACTGTTTATTCCACTTCGATCACAGGCTCGATGCCAGTGGCGGATTTGGAGCCAACTGTCAGTGATTTATTGTCACCAGGACAGGAATAGCCTGTTGATATAAAAAGAAACCCAAGGAAAACCCCCAAACCTTGTTTTTAACCTTGGTTTCCCTCCTCCCTCCAAGCCCTTCCTGGAGCGGCTGATGTGAGGTGGGCCCGAGGGAGGCACGTGGCCCCACTCTGGGGTCGGTGGGCGACAGTGGGGGGCCAGGGCCAGGGTCCAGGGGCCCCGACGCGGCTCTGGAGACGACTGTCACCGGCTCGTGTCTCTGGTCAGCCGAGTGACTCTTCTCGGTTCCTGAGCCCTGGCTGTGGGCCCATTGCTGAGTGGGCGAGGGGAGCTGTATCAGAGAGATGTCTATCTCCTTCCTGTTTAGCGTCCCCTTCCTGCCAGATGAGTCACTTGTGCCCGCGTGGTGCCCACGGCGGGGTCTGTGAGGACCCGCCAGAGGTGCTGGGGGGTTGGAAGCAAGAGGAGGGGCAGGGCTGTTGAGGGAGTGGGCAGCCCTGTCCCGCTGCCAGTTACCTGCCCCCGCCCGCCTTCACCTGACCCAGAGTCAGGAGGCCCGTTTTCCTTCCACACAGGAAGAATACCCTCTGTTTTTTAAGTAAATGGGTTTGGGACCCATGATGTGTACCTGTGGGCAGCCTCTGGAACAGGACCAATTAAGTCCCTAGTGCCATAAAGGGATGCTCATGGCCACACAGGCCTCAGTTTCCCCATTTGTCAACGGGACCAACAATACGTACCTGCCCCCCCGAGTGTTTTTGAAAGAGTGTTGCATAACCCCTGGTGATGGAATGAATGGTTTTCCACGTTTTGAGCCGAGAGCTGCCCTCCCTCACTTGGGCTTGTCACGGGGGAGCTAAGCACCGGTGTGGTTTGTCTTTGTCCCTGTGAAGGTTCAAGAAGACGTGGAAGCTGCACACGCTGAAGGAGGGCAAGGCGAGTGTGCACCCGCCGTACTCGCTGGGACAGCGGGTCCCCGAGAGGCCCAAGCCCACCCCGGTGCTGGTGCCCCTCATGTCCCTGCCGGTGTCCCCCAGCAGCCTTGGGTCTGACAGCACCTTGAGGCACGGCCGACCGGATGCCAGGGGCCCACAGAGCCCTTACGACATCAGCAACAGAGACTACTTCTTCCCCAGATAGTGGGGGGCGGGGTGCCAGGCCCTCCGAGCCTCGTGAGTGACGAAGCACAAACTAGCTCATCTCAGCTGCCGGGGCCTCATGGAAGGCGCTTCACTTCCCGAAACAGGGTTGCTGCCTCCGTTCCGAAGGAAGAGGTGGTTGAGTCTTGGAACCACCCTTTCCCAAGTGCCTAAAGGGGTCGACCCCCGGAGGAGGCAGGTCACCATCGTGCTGGACACTCAGGTGGACGAGCCGCCGGCCACCCACGCACCCAGACTCCTCTGCGCGAGTGGCAGCCTGCGCCAGATGGGACCGATTTCCAGCCAAGACTCCCCGGGCATCTCCTGGCCTGCCGAGCAGCTCCGCCTTCCAGCCTCAGTTCTTGGAGCCAGAATGCCTTTGCAATTCAGCTTTTCCAGGCCTGAGGATGGGAGAAGCACCTGCCTTTCTTCCCCATACCTGAAAATAGCACAGCGAGTCGCCTAGTATCTCAGGGCCTGGTGGTTTGAAATGGAATTGTAATTAGTTCCTCATTAGCATTTTGCTAAATGTGAATGGCGATCCCAGGCACTTGCTGAATCCAGAGCAGGTGCACTGGCTCGACTTCCCTCTTTGGATCCCAGGACTTCAGGAGGAGAGAAGCAGAGGAGAGAGGGAGGGTCGTGAGGAGACAGGCCTCCGTGTCCTCCCTAGGGGCGGCACTGCCCGGGGACCCGGACTCTGGAAGCCAGCTTCCCTGTCCCCCGCTTACGAGGGGGACTGTCAGGCTTCTGCCTTGGGGGGGAGGTCGCAACTGCTGTTCTTCTACTTTGTTTTCAGCTGAGCCTGAGAAACAAGGGAAGATAATGTTCATGTGAAAAGACAAAGAACCCGGCAGGAATGTATTTTAACTTGTTTTTCTTAAAAAACCCCAAAACTGCTGTTTTATCTTCGAGGCTGGGAGAGCCAGTATTCGCTGAGTGTCAGTATATGAGTAACTTGGGGAAAAAGCACAATAACCTTGTTTAGCACAAAACTGAGTCAAGTGAAAAAGGAGGAGAAAAGATAATTTTCCTTTTAGAGCAGAGAGTCTGATTTCATTCTACATCTTGTTTTTGTCTTAAAAAGTGAGAACATAGTCTCTCCTTTAACCGGGGGAAAGCAGCTGTTCACCCTGCCAGGCCGCGGCGGCGGAGAGGGTGTCCGGCCCCCACCCCCGAGCCCTTGGTTGTGGGAGGGGTCTCCCTACAAAGTCCCCCCACCTTGGGGTCTTCTTAGTTCCTCGATTTGATTCAGCTCAGCTAGGATCAGAGCACCCACTGACTGTAGCCGCGTGGCCGCGCCAGCACCCTCATGGTGAGTCCGGGCTTTGATGATTCAGGGATGCGTGTGGTCACCCAAACAAGGGCCCTCGAGCAGCCTGGGGTGTCCCAGAATGAAGCTGTGGTTACAGGCAGCCTCGTAACCACCGCTGAACATTTACCAGACCACAGACTTTTCTAGTAGCTTGCTTTTTTAGACAAATGACCACCAGCACCAGACAGGCGGCGAGAGGAACAAAATGACCGTGTTTCCTTACTGGTTGCCAGGTTCAGGCCACGCTGCCTGAGTCTGTAAATCTCAGGCCCTGTTGCTGCTCTAGGCAACTAGTCTTCAGTTGACCAAAGTTAGGCGGGTGTTTTTTGTTGTTGTTTTTCTCTAAAGTTTCTTTGAGAACAGCAAAAATGCTGTTAAAGGGAAATATGCAAAACAAGAATGTGCATGAGAAAGGTCTTTACCTCTTGGCGAGGTTGGGTTTTACTGGAGCTGAGATGGTGGAAGATGGACCGGCAGATAGCAGACAGCGTCTGGCTGCTGAGAGCCGTGCTTTGATCTCCAAACTGTTATTGCTTTCATTATTATTGTAATGAAACTGCCTCTTTTTTTTTTGTATTGGAGAGGGTTTTTTTCCCCTCTATTTCTACATAAGCTAGAGAATGAAGGAAGAGCGTTTTCCTCTGGGTCGCAGGCTGTGCTCCGGGAGCCTCTGTGCACCCGCTGAGCTCTGTGCTCAAATCCCTGGGCCGTGAGCGCGCCCCTTCCCGTGGTCACCGCCCCTGGGTCCTGCAGGGTGCCTGTTGCCTGTCCTCCTCGACAGATGTTACCTACCTGACCTGTAGCACAGCCAGACCCAAGAGGACAGCTCCCCTTGCTGGGTGGGAAAAGCTGAAAATATGCTGGTTCAAGGTCTAAATGTGCTCAGTAATTCTTGTAGCATTAATGAAAACTTTTTTGAAATGTCAAGGGGGTAGCATTGAATGGACCTGCAAAGCCTTCGGTGACCCCGAGAGCTCTTTGCTCTGACGAGGTCTTGCCCAGGGGCGGGCACCTTGATAAGGGGTCAGGAGCCCACCTGGCGGTGAGCAGAGCCGTGTGGGGCAGGCTGGGCCTGGTCATGGTTTCTGGGCTTCCTGCAGAACGTTCAGGATTGTCTTGCCTCCTCAGAGGTCCTGAAGTTTGACCCACTTGGGGAAGAGTCTGTCCTTCAGTTTCAGGTGGAGTTGGTGAGAAACAGGTCTTCATCTGGAGAAGCAGGGACGACGGGGGGCCCTTCAGAGGCCACGCCGGCTTTCCCACGTGGCAGGCGGCCGTGGGGCTGTTGTTGGGAGGCAGGCCAGCTGGTTCGGCGTCTGTCCCCCACGTGTCCCCTGCGGCACTCCAGCATCGCGTCCTCCGTGTGGCCTGGTGGCAGAGCCGGGGAGTTTCTATGACAACCTTACTGATTATTAAAGAACGCTGTCGTTTTTATGAACATGTGCTCAGATGAAGGTCTGCTGTAGAAAGAGGACTGGAACAGTGCGTAGCAAGGCTGTGAATTAGCAGAGACACCATGTTTGGATGGGGATCACACACCTGTTAAATACAATACCTCAGCTTTTTTTTTTTTTTGGAGAAAAATAAGTTTTAATTTTTGTTTTTTTTTTTTTTACCTAATTACCTGAAAGCAAATACCAAAGGCTGATGTCTGTATATGGGGCAAAGGGTCAGTATAATGTTTTTCAGTATTTTTCTTTTTATCAGCTATTTTCCATTTAAAGTGAAAATCGTAAATGTTTGAAATAAATAATTTCTAAAAATATGCTGGAGATGTAATTATGCTTTGGGCACCCGGGCCGTTTGGAGGAAAGACTTGCCCAATTAAAGAGGGAAGGATTGGAGAAACATGGGCTTAAAACTAAGCAGGACCGTTTGGGGTGGGCCTCCCCTAAGGCACAATTGAGTTACCTCTAGAAAGAGGTAGGTTCCAGAAACAATAGCAATTTCTCAAAAGACTTTAATTATGAAAATGTTTCCCAAAATGAGTCCTGGGGTTTCTGGAAGGGCGTGGGTGCTTCTGCCACGTTTAGCATCACGGCCAGGGGGATGGGCGTGTAGGGAAGGAAGAGGGCGGGCAGCTATTCATCAGGAGACTGTTTATTGAACAGGGGGTGTGAACCACATCACAGAGGTGACCCTGCCCTCCTGATCGGCAGCCTCAACCTGTCCCCTCTTGGGAAGGGTCTCTGGCAGGAAAACCTCGAGTCGCGGCCATCCCATGGCTTCCAAACAGAGGAGAGCCATCATGTGGCCGCCTTATGGACAAGAGTTGTTGTCAGACGGCTCCAGGCTGGGGAGCCCAGAGATTCTGTACGTCAGACTGGAAGCCGGAGGCCCTGCCTGAGCCACGCGGGAGCCATGGCGCTGGCCTGCCGACCCCCCGTGTCCTCGAGGTCGGTTCCCGTCTTGCAGAAAGTGCCACAGGAATCAGATGTCTCCCTGGTGGCCAGGCTGTGTGGGCCGGGCAGGGGTGCAGGAGTGGGCACCAGGACAGGAAATGGAAGGAGGAACCTCCCACTGCACAGCGTTGCTGTCGGTCTGACATGGTCACGATGCTCTTTCCGCCAGACCCGGGAGAGCCGCGGGCGGTCTTCACAGGGGACGGCCTAGTGCACCCAGTTGCTGGGCCGGCCGCTGAGGAAAGCACTTTCTTTCCTCTTTGTCGAAGCAGAAGGAGACCAGGACTTTCTCCATGTTGGAGAGAAGTGCCGGCCAGACGCAGGAAGCTTTCTGCCGAGCTTTTGGCCACAGCTGGGCAGTGCTCGGGGGCAGCTGGGGCTCGGGGTGGCCCCTGGGCACGGTGGGGGCCGGGCCAGCCGGCTGTGGGGCCTGTGCACACGTGGTGATGGCCAGTGACCTTGAGCCCTGCACTGTCCTTTAAATGCTGACCAATCCCTAGTGTCTTATGGAAGTCCCTGCTTGTCACTCACAACCCAGACGAGACAACACCTTAGCCATGTCTTATTTCATACCAGTAGTTTTAGATGACAGTCCAAAACGTGGGTAAAATTAAGTTTTTTCAGTAAAATCATGAGACGTTCCTACTAGTAGCGGATGTATGTAATACTCAATTAAGGATGTTCTTCTAATTTAACTTCAAATTGCTTAATACATCTGCCAGTGTTCACAAGTAGCTTACTGCGAAACGGAAGCTTCATTAGGATTTTCTAAAGAATGGAATTCATCGGGAAGACAGTTGCACATTATTTTGTTTTTTAAGTTGAAGTGCTGTGCAATAGGGATTTTGAAATGTTGAATGTTGTAAGCGTGACACCCTGGAGTCTATGGCCAGCAAGAGAAGAAGGGAGAAGTGGCGGGTGGACGGCAGCCTGCATACACCCGCCCTGCAGGGCGCAAACCCGCCCCGGTGCATAGCGGGGGTCAGCAGGGACTCCTGTTCAGTAGGTGTGATGTGGGCGCAGAAAGCTAAGTAACCCCCTCAGATGGCTCTGAGGAAGGTGCTCCTGAACCCCAGGGGTGACCGTGGCCATTTCTGGGATGAGATGGTGCTGGGGGCGTCCCACATGAGGACGTGGCATCCTTTGGCGGATTGTTTCCACGGACAGGTCTGAGGGTCAGGAGCCGCACAGCCCGTGTTGAGGGTCCCTGTGCCGCAGACCACTAGGCTGGAGATGGGATTCCGAGACAACGTATGGTGTTAATTGGGAAACAAAATCTTGGACAGTAAAGGGGGACACCACCAGCCTTGCTGGTCACCTGGAGCCCACAGCCCCTTTTTGGTAGAAAAGGGAAAGGGTCCATTAAAATTAGCTGATAATAATAGCTACCACTTGTGGACCCTCCACCACGTGCTTCACAAACAGGATGTTCTTTCTCATCCGAACGGCGCTGGGGGTGAGTGCTCGGCTCGCTTACAGGTGAGGAAGCTGAGGTGGGGGCAGGGGTCCGAGACTGAGGTAGGAGGCTGCCCTTGGCCGTAAACCTGGTCTGCCTGACTCCAAGAGCAGTGCTGTCCTCGCCATGCGGCTCAGGCCCCTCGGCACTGGTGACCACCGGGATGGTCCTCTCCAGCCCCCGTGCAGGCGGGGGCCTGGCCCACTCACTCCCCATTCCCCATTTGGTTTGTCACACCTGTCATGTGAGTGGGGGCTGAGAAGCCAAGCCTGGGGGAGTCGGGAGCCCACAAAGGCATGTCTCCGAGGCAGCCAAACCCCAAAAGATGAGGTGTAGAGGGGAGGGGCAGCAGCTAGTTCCTTACTCGTAATGACCCTTGATCAGAAACCGAATCGAACCACTTCCCCCCAATCTGTACCAGCTCTCTGAACTCCGCGTGGATGGTTTGATTTTCTCCTGCTGCTTCCTTGGTACACACTTCGGTGAACTTCCTTGAAATGCTCCACGTGTGCATTATGCCCACTCTCTCTGGAAGGTAATGGTCACTATGCTGTGAATGCTGGTTCTTTTTGGATGGTGAGACTTTCAAGGGAAGTTTCCTGAACTGCAGTGACCCAGGAGGGACCGGCCCCTTCCTTGGGATGCTGGCTGTCCACCGGAGTTTGGGAGCGAACTCTCCCCAGGAGAGGATGGCCAGTGTGTGGTGGGGTTCAGTGGACGGGTCCGGGTGGGGAGTGGCTGCACGGGCACAGGCTTGCCCAGGGCTGCTGGTGAGGGCTGGGGGGCTGCCTTGTACACACACTGGGTTGAGCAATTTTGTGATATTCTAAAAGCAAGGACGTCACGTTAGGAAGTCACTGAAGACTACATAGATAGATGACTTTTTGATGCATATTAAATATTTTTTCATGAGCATGTATGTTTTTACAGTTAAAGAAAGCTTTTCACTAAATCCTGTGTTTTGGCATAGCTCAGCCACACTGTGCTGTCTATGAAGAATGTTTCTTGAGAAGTATGAGAAGTAGGTGGGGACCAGAGGTTAAACAAAGCCGACCGCGAGATAGCCAGTGGGAAGCTGCCCAGAGCTTAGGTGCGTCTTTCCAAAGCCTTGACATTCTCCATTAAAAAAAAAATGCAAGGACTTTGGGGAGAATGTTTCACTTGCAAATATACCATTTAAAACAATCCAAAATGAATATAAACACGTCTCTTTTATTTGACAAAGAGACACAGCGAGAGAGGGAACACAAGCAGGGGGAGTGGGAGAGGGAGAAGCAGGCTTCCCGTGGAGCAGGGAGCCCGATGCGGGGCTCGAACCCAGGACCGTGGGATCATGACCTGAGCCGAAGGCAGACGCGCAACGGCTGAGCCACCCAGGCGCCCCTTTTTTTTTAAGATTTTATTTTTTAAAGTAATTTCCACACCCAACATGGGGCTCAAACTCACCCCTTGGAGATGGTGTTGCATGTATGACCGGCTGAGCCAGCCGGGTGCCCCTGAACAAGTCTTAACTATCATCAGTGTAAACCATGATTCTCACTGGTCGACAACACACTGGTTGGTACCTTGACAGTCCACTCAGCTTTCACGGGCACACACTAATGCATCTTTCCCCCAGTTAATCCAAACTAGTAATCCTGTTTATGAACATAAATCGGAGGGCAATCTGAATCATTAAAATAATATCCCGTAGAAGGCATTTTAAGCCTGAATCAAGAAGATGCAGTGGCTCATACTCCAATGATTCACAACATGGGGGAGATTCTGATGCTCCTTGTGGATCTTGGAAGTGATAATCCACATGCTTCTGAGTGCGTCTCCTCGATAGCTGATAGCATGTGGATTATCAGGGCCTCAGACCACCCCGTTCTGGGGTGGACACTCCCACACTGGGGAAAGGATGGGCCCTCAGACCCGGCACGGGTTTGTCCGGTGGTGGATGCCTTACCTCAACCCGATTCTACTTCCCCGGCCTGAGTGCACGGGGCTCACGTGTGGGGAGAGAGCGCACTGGTCTCTGGATGTCTAAGACTGGCATTGTTTTGGGGTTTTTTTTCCCCTGTGGTAAAAGACACATAACAAAATTTCCCATTGAGCCATTTTTTTTTAAAAGATTCTATTTATTTGAGAGAGAGAGAGGGAGGGAGAGAGAGCAGGAGCAGGTGGGTGGGGAGCAGCAGACGGAGGGAGAAGCAGGCTCCCCGCTGATCAGGGAGCCCGATGCGGGACTCAATCTCAGGACCCCGAGATCACAACCTGAGCCGAAAGCTTAACTGACTGAGCCACCCAGGCGCCCCTCCACTGAACATTTCTAAGTCTACCGTTCAGTGGTGTTAAGTATATTTACATTATTGTGGACACAACCTCTGGAACATTTCAGCTTGTAAAACCAAAACTCGGAGCCATTAAATAACTCCCCATTTCCCCGCTCTCCCCAGGCCCTGGTGCCCACCACCCTGTTTCTGTGAATTTGGCTGGGTTTCTCATAGAAGTGGAATCTTACAATATTTTTCTTGGGACTGGGACTGGCTCATTCCACTCATCAAAACGTCGTCAAGCTTCATCCTCGCCGTCGCAGGTGTCAGGATTTCCCTCCGTTGAGGCGCATGCTCCCTTCTGTGTGGTCGGCCCTCTGGCTTTTCCGTCTGTCTGTGGGCACTTGGTTTGCTTCCACTTCTTGGCTATTGTGGTTTTTTTTTTTTTTAAACTTTATCTTTCATTTGTTAACTGAAGCCAAGTGGCTAGTTTAACAACCTCGTCCCACTGGTTTGATTGTGTTCTTCACACGTGGGGATTCTACAGGGCTCCAGTTTCACCGGGAAGGAGCAGGAGGCTGTGGTCTGCACTCCGGCACGCACTCCATGACGGACCCAGGGCAAGGCATTAGGCTCTTCCAAGCGTCCTGATCCGAAAATGAGGCTGCTGCCTGGCTCACGAGGTTAAGGAGGGTTGCAGACAGATACTGTATGGGAGCATCCGTTTAAGCAGCACAGGTGGTGGTGAGGGTCTAGCCTCATTGCTCACACCTCGACCTTCCACAGGGTCGGGATCTGACAACACACGACAGCCGCCGAACCCTGGGACCTTACAAACACGTGCGCCACCTGGACTCCGAGAACCGTTGCTCTGGTTGCCGGGGGCGGGGGGGGAGGGGAGGGGCGTCGAACATTCCTAACCCTTCTAGAAGCTTCTAGAACCTCAAATGAATGTATTTGCGTTTTTCTTTTTTTTAAAGATTTTGCTTATTTATTTGACAGAGAGAGACACAGCGAGAGAGGGAACACGAGCAGGGGGGGTGGGAGAGGGAGAAGCAGGCTCCCCGCGGAGCAGGGAGCCCGATGCGGGGCTCGATCCCAGGACCCTGCGACCATGACCTGAGCCGAAGGCGGACGCTTAACGCCGGAGCCACCCAGGCGCCCTTTGCGTTTTTCTAAATAGTAGCTTCCATTGGTGGTGCTCAGCTGTGGCTGGGTATCAAAATCACCTGGCAGAAGTTTTAAAAATTATAGATTTCAAGCTTCACGACAGACTAAAGCATCAACTCCCACGGGTGGGACGGGGCGTCTGTATGAATAACAAAGGAAAGAAGGCCGACCTTCAGCGCAGGACGCAGGCGGCTACCGAGGACCAAGGTAACAGCTCTCCGCTCGAGAAGACGCCAAGGACCTGAGGGCGAAGCTTCCCGGGGCCACGTCCGACTGGGAAGAAGCCGTGTGAGACGAGCTCTGGTGGGTCCAGTGGTTTTGTCCCTCCTTGGGTGCGCAGCGGCCGCAGGAGAGCGGAAGCATTTGCAAAGGGAGGGGTGCTCAACACGGATCGGAGAGAGCACACTGGTTTTCTTGGGACGGCGTTTATCTGAAGTTACCTCTCAGAGCCAGCCATCTTCGGGGGGCGCGTGGGGTAGACTGGCTGTGGGCCATGCATCCCGAAGTTCCATACGACCTCTCGGATATAATTTACCAGAGCACTGCAGACGGGCGCTGGCATCCCATACAATCTTCAGATAGCTTCAAAAGTTAGACGTAGCTATTAGTTAACACGTTAAAGCCCCTAACAAAATAACTGAATGGTTAGGAACGTGACAAAATGATCTCAAGGATCTGCTGCCGGCATGCTCACTAAAACACGACAGCACGACCCGCCGCCCAGGGGCCTGCACATCAGGCTCCGCAGGAAAGGCCAGGTTGCAAGATGGCAACTGCCGCGCATCACTGCCCCCACGCTGCCGCCGTGGGCTGTACCAGAAGCGCCTGGGAACCCTCCCCGCCGCGCGCCTGCATTCCCGGGCGGTTCACTCTGTCCCCACCAGGTGGCAGCGACGCACCGTCTCGTCCTCCCTGCAGGGTCGGCGATCAAGGAGGGTGAAGTGAGGCCCAGTGTCTCCAAGTACAAGTTAATGGGGCACACAAGTCGGAGACCAGAATAAAGAGTGACATTCTAAAGAGACAAAAGGCCAAAATAGTGCGGATTATGGAACAGGAGGGAGCCAACCTCTGTGAGAAAGCAACACAGCAGTTTTCCCAACTACTACAAGGGTGTGAGCGGGGAGGCGGAACGCCGACATCTTCGTGTCCCCCCTAGACTGGTGGAGAAAGGAGGCATTACCTTTGACTGAAAAATCACATTTTAATGGAACAGAAAGGCCACCCTTGTTCAAAGAGTATCTCAGATGCTCAGTTCTTCTGAATCAAGTATGAACGTTTACTCACTAACAATGGCCATTAACAGGGTCAGAGCAGTTAAATAATCCAATTAACAAATTAGGACTATTTCCCCACCTGTCCCAAAAACTTCTGTCCACCTCCCCATCTGACGGCAGAGGCCAGTAAATGAGTAACGACTGAGCAAAGAATAAAGGTTCTTTTTATAAATGCTTGAGAAAGTAATTCTGGATGACTTAAAAGGACACCCCAAAAGAAAGTAGGCATATCCGTATTTTCCTTTAAAAAAAAATTTATTTTAGAGAGAGCATGAGTGGGGGAGGGGCAAAGGGCGAGGGGGGGAGGAACTCCAGCAGACTCCCCACTGAGCTCGATCTCACCATCCTGAGATCAGGACCTGAGCTGAAATTAAGAGTCCAATGCAACCGACTAAGCCACCCAGGTGCCCCTCAGTATTTTCCTTTATTACACATAGTAACACTGCTCCACTACCTTATTCCTACTTATTTAAATATACAACTCCCCTGGTTGAAATCCATCCTGACAGAAACCGCTATGGTAGCAAAGTAAATAGAAATGTCCTAGAGGCCTGAAATGAAGCAACTAAATAAATTCATCTAGTGAGCCGGGGCAGAGCATTTTTTTAAAAAGGGTGTGCTGGGGAAGGAGCATGGACGCAGGGAGCTCTAGGGCACCACACTCCAGACGAGGGGGCACACATCTGCTTGAGGACAGTTCCTCTTCAGGAGGAACTCGAAACGATTCTGGGAGACAGAGGGAACTGAAAAGAAAGGAGACTATGGGAAAATACGTGTATCAAGACAAAATGGCAAAAAGCCCAAGCATTGGGAGCTCCGAGAGGAAAGGTGTCACAGGGGTTCAGATGAGCTGGCCCAGGAGGCCCCACAGGGAAGCCACTGGGGACATCCCCGAGGCACCTGCCGGCTTGTGTTCCGAGCACAGGGCGCCCGCTGCTGGTGAAGCCTCTGCCATTGTCGGCCGGCTCACAGCCTTAGGAAGAAAAGAGCTGCTCAGCCCCCTTCCAGTCTACTACGTTCCTTCCTCCTACAGCCCCCGGCATAGCGTGAAGGAGCTGGACCATATACAAACTCCACATCTCCACTTCCAGCCAAACAAAGAACGTGACATAACTGTCATGGAAAAACAGTGCAGAGAAAGCACAATACCGAGCATATGATGGAAGCTTAATAAATACCTAACGCATCAGGTCTGCTTTCAGGATGCTATTTCATTATACATTCATCACAGTTGCTGGGCATGGGCCAAAAAT